ACATTTTATTAAAACAAATTAACGTCGTTTTGATCATATTGACGACATAGTTTAAAATTTGCTTTTCCTGCGTAAATTTGCTGCATCCAATGCTGACTAGAGCCAAAGCAAAGGAAATTCGAAATAACACAGAAGCGGTTTGCGGTGCACAATCCCAAGCTGAAAATATTGGAAGCAGTTCGGAATCCATTTGCGAGTCAGAGTACAGTTCTACAGTAAACGACATGGAACAATCGGAAAATTCATTAGAAGTGCAACAAGTTGCCATTCCATGTGACCAGATTGCATTGCTGGTTTCTAGCATAACCTCACTTCGGGAATGTGTTGCCGAATTGAGAATTGACACTTTGCGTAGTAGGCCACAAGTCGGCGACAGCTTTGCCAACGCTGCCGTATCCGACAACGCCGCGCCGCCTATGCGTACGTCGACGCAAGCGCCGGCGGCAACTGAATCTCAGCCGCAATTTACATCAACGCGAATGCCGCCACGTTTGATGCAAACTCCGACGATAAACACAGCCGCCTTGACTTTCATGGACAATTCCGCCGCTAAATTGTTTCCATTGCCGTCCTTCGATGGAAATCCGGAGGATTGACCGTTATTTTTGGCCAACTACAACGACACTACACATGAGTTTCAGTATAGCCATAGACAAAACCTAATGCGCCTGCATAAAGCTTTACAAGGCGCCGCTAAACGTGCTGTTACTTCACTTCTGATTTATCCGGAGGACGTACCAAAAGTGATAAAAGAGTTGGAGTTTAACTTTGGTCGTCCGGAGCTACTCATTAAGTCACAGCTGCAAAAGGTGCAACGTTTTCCGTCCATAAATGAGAGTCAGCTCGAACAAGTATTGAAATTTTCAAACAGGGTCAGAAATATCGTCGCTTTCTTCAAGTCCGCCAGGTGCGGACACCACTTAATGAATCCTACACTGTTGGAAAGTTTGGTGGGAAAGTTGCCTCCTTCCAAACAATATGAATGGAGCCAACGGGCCGCCAATATATTGCCGTTTCCAACAGTGGAAGATTTTGGTGACTGGTTAAGCGAAATAGCCAGATTTGTGTCGTTACTGCCGGGTGTTTCGGACATGTCGTTACATCACATCCAAGCGAGCGTCTCGCAGCCAACGCCAGCTGCGCAGCCCCGCAATGCTACTCGTCAAAGCAGCGGTTCTACTCGTCGCATTCTTTATAATAATGATGTACAGCCGGAGCAAAAGGTGATTTGTTTAGAGTGTGGACAATCACATAAACTAGTGGATTGTACTAAATTCTTGTCACGCGATATTCAGTCAAGATGGAGTTTCGCTAAAAGCAACCATTTGTGTTTTGGGTGTTTACGTAAAGGGCATAGCCTTTCGAATTGCCGCCAAAGTAAAGTATGTTCTGTCAACGGGTGCAAGCGTATGCACCACACATCGCTGCATCAGGGTATACTCCAGCCAGGCGCGGTAAATGTTGAACGCGTGCTGAATTGTTTGTTTGAAGATCAGACAAGTCTTTTTAAGATTTTGCCAATTACGTTGTCAGGACCTAATGGAAGTATATCTGCCTACGCCATGTTCGACGAAGGGTCGTCCATAACACTTCTCGAGGAGAATATAGCTGTCAAGTTAGGTCTGCGTGGTCCAAATGTTCCATTAACATTACAATGGTATGGTGAGAGTCAAAATAAAGAAAGTGCACGTAAGGTTTCTGTCAATATTAAAGGTGACTCCGCTGAATTCAACCTTAAAAACGTTCACACCGTAAGGTCATTAAATTTGCCACAACAAACGTTTGATAAGAATAAATTTGATCATTTCCTACCGTTGCCAATAGTAAGTTACATGAACGCCAAGCCAGTAATTTTGCTGGGTATAGACAACAGCTACCTGGGGGTTGCACAAAAGGTAGTTGATGCTGGACCAGAACAACCAGTAGCCGTTGCAACTCGTTTAGGGTGGGTAGCCTATGGCCCACTGTCTCAGAGTTCAGTCCGACAACCACGCGTCATGTACATCCGCGAATCACAATCGCAGTCTCTGCAAGCTTTGCACAAGTTGGTCAACGAGTATTTTTCAGTAGAGAGTTTTGGCGTTCGAAGTACCGATGTACTTTTAGAATCGGACGAAAACCGTCGTGCAAGAGAGATCTTGGAGACACAGATACGAGGTTGGTCTTTTATGGAGGAATGATGACCTCGTGCTCCCTCCTAGTTACGATATGGCGCTCCATCGCTTGAGGAAGCTTGAAGCTCGGATGGCGAAAGATGCCAATTACGCCGATAGCTACAAACGTGAAATTCAAAAATATGTCGATAAGGGCTACGCTAGGCTACTGAATCCAGATGAAGTTTTACTAACTACTCCTACGACCTGGTACCTACCACATTTTGGGGTTGTCAACCCCCACAAACCAGGTAGACTACGTGTTGTGTTTGACGCCGCCGCTGCCACGTCGAATGTATCGCTCAACTCAGCCTTACTCAAGGGCCCGGAGCCTGCACAATCCTTGCTTACAATAATTTTCAAATTTCGCCAAGGGGTTATAGCCGTCGCTGCAGATGTGCAAGAGATGTTTTCCCAGGTAGCCATCAAACCTGACGACCAGAATTCGCAACGGTTCTTATGGCGCGATGGGGATCCCTCGAAGACGATCCGGACCTACGTTATGTCCTCGCTGATTTTTGGTGCATATGCTCACCGTGCTGCGCAGAGTATATAAAAAATATGAATGCCTTGAAATTTGAATCCAACATGCCAGGTGGATCGTCAGCTGTCATTAACAATATGTATGTTGATGACTTAGTTATCAGTTTTGCAAGTGCGCAAGAAGCCGAAGAAGTCGCCAAGGAAGCAGTTGCTATAAACTCTGCTGCAGGGTTTACGCTAAGGAAATTTGTGTCAAACGACAAAGGTCTTCAAGCCGAACTGAATGGCGAGAACAATTTCGCAGATAGTGTTGTAGACATGGAGCGAAAGTCTATTGTCGACAAGGTGTTGGGTATGTACTGGAATACCCTCACTGACTGCTTCGAGTTCCACACAAGGTTTCACAAGATCGCACGTGATGTTCTTGATTGCACAAGGCCGCCAACAAAACGCGAACTCTTAGGGATCGTGATGGCTATATACGATCCATTCGGATTTTTAGCTAATGTCACAGTATGTATGAAGATTCTGCTGCAGTCTTTGTGGAAGCGTCAAGTCGATTGGGATGAACCAATCCCGAACCAACTCGTTGTGCAGTGGACGTCATGGTGGACAAGTTTTCAAAAGGTAAATAAACTTTCCATCCCAAGATGCCATTCTACAATGCTGCCAGTAGCAGACGAGGTGCAGTTACATGTGTTCGTGGATGCCAGTTCTAGTGCATATGCAGCCGTCGCGTATCTGCGCATATGCAAAGGGGAAGACGTTGATATCGCATTTGTCGCCGCTAAATCGCGTTGTGCTCCTCTTAAGGGCATGACAATTCCCCGCTTGGAACTGCAAGCCGCAGTTCTTGGTAGCCGTCTTCAGAAGTCAGTTGTGGAATACCACGACTTCAATATACATCGCATCGTATTGTGGAGTGACTCAAAGACAGTATTGCTCTGGATCCGCTCGACGACTAGAGAATACAAACAATTCGTCGCTGGTAGAATCGCCGAAATCATTTCTAGCACAAACCCATTACAGTGGAGATGGTTTCCCTCGTCGTTGAATGTTGCCGACGATGCCACACGAGGTCAGCCCATGACAGAATCCGATGCACGAAACCGCTGGTTCAAGGGGCCTACCTTTCTGCAACTCCCAGAATCCGAGTGGCCAAAAGAAGTTACGCCACTTACGTCAACAGAATGTGCTGCCGAGGAGAAGAAAATCTTTCTTCTCAACTCAACAACAGATGAGTATGTCATTAATTTTACAAAATTTTCGTCTTTTTTGAAGTTACTGAGGGTAACGAGCTGGGTGTTACGATTCAACTTTAACGCAAGAAACCGTATTCGCCGTTCAGGAGAGCTAAAAGCATTTGAGATCACTGACTCAGAAGTCTTCGTATGTCGCCGCGTTCAGGAAGAGGTCTTTCCTAACGAATTAGAAGAGTTGCTCTCCAAGCAAAAAGTGTCGAAGTCGAGCCCGTTATACCAACTTACGCCATTTTTAGACATCGATGGTTTGATTAAAGTGAATGGCCGCATCGATGCAGCATATTGCCTCCCTCTATCGGCACGTCGTCCAATCATAATGCCTCAACGCCACCACGTAACCAGTCTCTTAGTTTCATATTGGCACAAAAAGCTTCATCATCAGAATGATTGTCTCACAATAAATCAAATTCGTCAAAAGTTCTGGGTACCACACATCCGAGCAGTGCTTACGTCAGTAAAAAAGCGTTGTTCCGTATGTATCATCAACACAGCCAAGCCAAGTGCGCCGATGATGGGTCAATTGCCTGTCGATCGCCTCACGCCTTACGTTCGTCCATTCAGCTACACAGGAGTCGATTACTGCGGTCCATTTTTCGTCACTATTGGTCGTCGTAGAGAGAAACGCTGGGTTGCGTTATTCACGTGTTTAACCGTCAGAGCCATACACCTGGAGGTAGCTGAGGATTTATCGACCGATGCGTTCATAATCTGCATCAGAAACTTCATCAACCGTCGTGGCACACCCGTACGAATGCGAAGCGATAACGGAACTAATTTCGTTGGCGCCCAAAAACTATTACGCGTCGAAGAGAGACTATTTGACTTTAACCGTATTGAACAAGATTGCGCCGAACGCGGTATAGAGTGGATCTTTAATTGCCCTGCGAACCCGGCTGCTGGAGGATGCTGGGAAAGATTGGTTCAGTGTGTAAAGCGACTTTTGGAGCGAGTGCTAAAGGAAGAAGCGCCTCGTCTGGAAATATTCAGAAGTACTTTAATTGAAGCTGAAAACATCTTAAACAGCCGTCCGCTTACAGATATTCCAATCTCACATCACGACCAAGAGCCGCTAACGCCGAACCACTTTTTGTTGGGTTGCCTGAATTCAACGCAAACTCCAAGTCTCGAAGAAGAAAAGTTGTGCACCAGAAAGCAATGGAGAATTTCGCAAGCCTTGAAAGATCGTTTGTGGAAAAGGTGGACCAGTGAGTATTTGCCATCCCTAATATGTCGCCCAAAATGGAGGGAACAAGTCAAACCACTACAGCCAGGACAGTTGGTAATAGTATGCGAACCAAATTTCCCGAGAAGTAAATGGCTCAAAGGCAGAATTAAGGAAGTGTTCGCCGCAAAGGATGGCCAAGTCCGATCCGCTATAGTTCAAACCAGCACAGGAGATTTGCGAAGACCAGCCGCAAAGCTAGCCGCTTTAAATATTTGTGAATCCCAATAAGGACTCACCTGGAGGTAGAATGTTGGCGAGATTACTGAATACCCCCATTACAAGGTGCGTGAAAACCACCACCAGCATCAAAATACAACTCTGATAGCAAATAAGTTAAAACAGATGTTCTATCAGTCATTTATGTATCTAATTTCGAATCCTCTCAATCCTCTCATTTTCGAAGATTGCTTTATGTATTTATTAATATTGCTTTATGCATCTAATTTCGAATCCTCTCAATCCTCTCATTTTCGAAGATTACCTTATGTATTTATGTATCCCAAAATTTCTGTATACAATTTGATCGTTTGCTAACATTAATAGTTTGTATTCTCTTTAAAAACCGTTTATATGCTGGTTTATATGTATGTATACTTTTTCGAACATTGCGATTGGAATTTTGCTATTTCGCAAAGCTTCGAGTCATTCGTCGTAAAACCAACGCTTGGAAAAGATACCAAATTTTAACGAGCCAACATTGGAGTATATTTTACCACGCCTTTTAATTAATAAATACATTTTATTAAAACAAATTAACGTCGTTTTGATCATATTGACGACA